TATGTTTACATACCGCGCTCGCTCGACAACAACATACAGTGTCGGAACGCTCGCCGCTCTTCGTTAGCCAAGATATTGCATGCACGCTTTTCATCGAGTCGAGGGATTATTGTTTAGCAATTATATCACGGTCGCGCAATTAAGCTGGCCAGCTTACCTTTTTATTTCAGCTCTCGCACGGATTGCAAGGGAGGAAGGGGGATCTCGTACAACACGCTGTGTCTTTGTGCACTGTCCGATTGTCGGTTGCGGTGTCTCTCGCTCGCAGTTTCGCCCTCGATGGCGAAACTCACCACTCACGCATACACTCGTACACACTCAGTTCCGTCAACTATCTCCCCTCGATCCTCGTAGCTGATCTGTCTTCACGCTCCCAGGAACACTCGGAACGACGTCAGAAGGTTATGCGGCACGGCCTTGCCATCGGTAATTATTCTGATATGCGGCTCTCCGTATCGGTAGATAATCCTGCACTTTTGGCCAAGCGTGTCGATGGCTAATCCCTCACTGGCGACTCTCCGTATCGGTAGTTAATCCTTTACTAGTTCATTTTCAATTGCGCGCGTTCCGCCTCGTCGCGTGCCGAATTCTCTCAATACGTTTTTCGTCTCCCGGTAGGTGCTGCCCCCGCGGGCAGCCACTGGGTTAGGCTATTAGCGCTAATATGACGTTCACCGTCACAACACATATAAACTTTACAAAATTAGTTATTGGTCGATTTAGTGTAATTTACAATTATCACAAATAATATCGTCAAAAGTTATTAACTAATAAAGTTAATTAATGCAATATTACAATATTTACAATAGAACAATATTAAATTTTTACATAACTTTATTGTTTATTAATTTTAGAAGTAATTTCTAACAAGAAATATTCAAATTAGTTAATAACATTTGAATTATAACAACTTTTCATATTTGTAACGGTTTTTTCTATAATCTTATAACGTAATTACTAGATTAATTATCTAAGATTTATAAATTACAAAGTTATCATTATTACATATAAAATTAACGCTTTCGTTCTATATACAACTTAATGTTTAAATAAATTATTGATTGTTGATTTATTAATAACAGTTATTGTTACACTGTTATTAAAGAAACCAATTCTTACTCATGTTCTTCAGATATTCATTTTGAATATGGAATATTTACATTTTTTTAATCGTTAATTTTTATAGTGTAATAAACAAATTAACTTTGCATATTAAAATTCCTGATTATTTAATAATTAAACGCACTTCGTATTATTATATTCTAAATCTATGTACTAAAATCTATATAAGAAATACTTTGTAATATCAAAATTACGTCAAGTTAACATATTTTATTCAGATAACAAAAATCATTATATCTATATCTATCAATCTGTGTCGTCACGCTCCTTATATGGTCATGAAATTAGTCTCTGTTACTAAGACAACAAATAATAGGTGAGGTGGCGCCGTTTAATATGCTCATTGATGTAAACAGATAGATGAGTTTAACGGGTTGCAGTGATTCAGTGACATAATAAACTAGCTCATCGATAGAACTGTTACAGACTATAATTGTTTTGTGATGATGCGTTATCACACGAAAAATTATACACTACCGGCACGATGCGGCAGAACAACCACGACCGCATACACCCGCCCACGCACTTCCGAATCTCGCGGCGAACTATGGCCTCTAGAAGTCTCCCTGACCGATTCGCACGACCATTACGCTCGCGTACAACCCCTCGCGCACTCACGACCCGATCCGACCCTCCCCCGGGAAGCTAGAAGCCCCTAAAGTTTCCAGCCGCGATCAGCTGATCGCGAGCCCCCGTTAGTTAAGGCAGGCCTAGCTAGACTAGAAGTAGGAGCGATCGAGAGCGTGAGAGCGAGCGAGACCACCGATGCTAGACCGATCGGAAGCGAGCGAGGGGAATCGGTAAGACCAACGAGCGATGGATAGAAGAGGATAGATAAGCGACGCTAGTTGACTGGCCAATCGTTATCAGCTTAGGGGTGGTCGGACTAATGAGTGAAAACCGACGCTATCTTCGCGACCAGTAGGCAAATTAGGCGCAAAGAACCGACCAATAAACAAATTGCGCGGGCAAAGAACATTAATATAGACGGCGCTGAGACCCGGCTTAGCAACAAGCCAGCCAATCGACAATAACTAAGGGGAAGTAAGCTAGGAGAAGCGGCGTGTCGCCGAAAAACGGCGCGCCAGTAACCGTTAAGCCTCGACGGTGAGTAGTCCCGCCGAGCCTCGCTGACGCGCGGTACCCGAGAAGTGAAAACAGATAGAAGCAGAAAAGCAGAGGAAATAGATAAAGCAGAGGGAATAGAGAAGTAAGGATTAGAAGCGAAAATCGGAAGCGAAGATAGAGGTGTGACTAGAAGCGAAAATAGTGAGAAAAGTGAGGGTAGTAGAGGAAGTAGTGAAAGTAGTGAATATAGAGCAGGAAGTAGTGAGAAAAGTGAGTACAGAAAAGGAAGTAGTGAGAGCAGTGAGTACAGAGAAAAGCAGTGAGAGTAGTGAGAAAAACAGCGATAGAAAAATAGATTAGTGAAGCAACGACAGTACCAATAACGGAGACGCATACGACAATAGTAGCGGCTGCTACAGCGGCCTTGGCGGCCGTAGCCGCGATAGTAATTGCCCGAAAATTTAACAGGAGTAAGTACCTTTTCCTACTACTGATTTTCTTTGTATGACCGATGATCGCGAGATTGCCGCGCATTGCCGACCGCCGCGTTTCGGGAGTGTCGTACGACCTTCGCGCGTTCGATAATATAACATTCGCGCTCATTCATTGCTGACCTCCGAAAATCTTTTTATCGAGCCGTTGTATTATCATTGTCCGCAAGACGAAGTTGCCGCGTAATTACGGAACGGGAGTGTCGCATGACTTTCGCGCGCATTACGCCTTGTGATCGTATATGTCTGCCGTTGTCTCCGAGCTTTTCTTTGTCACGTCGTTTCATTGTCCCGCATCTGAAATTGTCGCATGATCGCCGAATATCCGCGCGCGGGTATGCCGTATGACCTTCGCGCGCCCGTTGCCGTTGCTGCGCATGTTTTTGCCACCGACCTCCCGAGCATCGTTTTACGTGTCGCCGTACTGTTGTCATCCGAGAAACGAGTTTTCCTTAGAGTGCGCGTCTATGAATTCCTTTCCCGAGTCGACCTAAACATTACACGAGTCGTGCTAGACCTTCGTTCGACCGGCAGAATTCGGATACATTGTCGCCTTTATTTTGCTCGCGATCGTTGCTACGAAGTGCCAACAGCACCGTGAACAGTAACTAACCTTCGCGTGACCGACCGAATTCCTTCACGTATTTGCCTTGAACGAACTGGAATTTTCGCCGCGAGTAAACAAACCGACATCGTGTAATCGTATCCGAAGTCCGAAGTATTCAACTGAATTATTGTCTGCCTAGACCGACTTCGCGTCGTAGTACGCCACTCGCGTCCCCCAGTAACCTAGACCAGGCTGACCATCGCGAGGGATAGATCACTGGGGTTGACCTGGGAAGTTTTCTTTTGCCGAATAAACCTGAATTATTTTAAGTCTGAGTTGTTATTGACTGCACCCACTTGATCGCCTCATCCCTCGTAGCTTTCGCGATCGGTCTGAGGTCGGTAAGCGCGTGCGCGAATACCCTAATTGTCACCTAGCCGATAGCCGCCGTCGCGGCCACCACGCCACCAGTCCACGGAAGGAGCTATCCCCTAAACCACTAGTCCGTCAGTCGGGGCGCCCCTGCGACGCCCCCCCTCGATGTACCCGCTTCTGGGTTAGGAACCGCCATGCCCCGAACTACATCTAGCTAGCCGAACGAGCCGCAGCCGTGGGTGGCCTTGTAAACCACCCGTTGCCCCCCTTTCCCCTTTCGCTCGATACGCTTTAAACTCGAACGAATTCGTAGCCTAGGACTTCGCGCTCCCGCTTCATTCTTCACAGGTGATAGCCGGCCACGCGCGCAAGAACACCGACGGCGACGAGGAGGGAGGCAACGGGGAAACCACCCGACCTCACAGCGACCAGCAGGACTTTGCCGAGAACCAGCCAACGTTGCAGCGCTACCTGCTCTCCTAACGCGAGAGCACGGTAGCTGGCGCCCAACGAAATAAAAAAATAAAGCTGCATACGTTGTCTCGGCTGACTGCGCGCCGCTGGCGACAGTGCGAGACCGGAAAAATACCCGTCTATTATTTTTCCCCTCCCTCTCCCCCGTCGCAGTTTATTTCAAAAGCGGTCATTTGACCGCCATTCGGTAGAATTGTTATATATAATATGTTGGTGGGTTTAGTGTTAAACAGCATGATTATACCTTTCATATGTTAATATCTTATCGATAGTATAGATTGGGCTATGGAAATGTTACGTCCTGAGATGTAAAAATTATATGGACCTTGATTTAGTAATTGAGCGAACATAGAAATACGTTATATAAGCGAAAATATTGATGAGCTTAACAACAGCTCAATTTTTTGGCAGTTAAATCGCGACGCGTAACAACAAAAAAAGTAAAATTTAAAAAAATGTACTTAAACTAGTGCTTACTAGAACTACTAAACTAGAATTTTTGATATTGAATCTATAGATTATTGTCAAATATCTAGTTTGACAAGAGTTATTCTACAACCCTGAATAACTACGTAAAGGGTAATAAACAATGGGACAGAGCAGCTATAAATCAACCAAATACTCTTGTCACTAACAATAAGTAAACTGTACTAGGAAAAAATTAGTTATTTATATAAACAAAAAAAAATATAAGATTGGACTACTGTGTCGAGATATAATAGAAACATTAATGTCATATAATTCATATAATTTTCTTTGTGTCCTTTAAGTCCTTACAAAAAAGCAAGATAGGCAATTACTACTAATATCTGTACTGAATCCATTCTTCATTGTTTTAAAATACTCAGTTTGAGAATTAAGACAAAATATACTAAAACAATAAAATGTCATAAACATAAATAAAATTATATATATTATTTCAGAAATTACACTAATAAGTATGAAGTAGATTGAAACATCGTAAACAAGATATAATAATATCAATGGATAATTTGAACAAAATTCATGGGAACCAACAGTCATGTGTATTAAGCAAGTCTTCAATTTCATTGGTGAAAGATGCTGAAGAGCAAAATATGAATATAGTTGAGGTATACTGTTGTCATAAAAATTTGTTTACTTATAATTAGTTTGTTACGATTTTCATTATATATATATTGTAACGGGGTGGATTAGCTAGTAGAAACAAAGTTTATAAAAGTGTAACGGTGAATTCCGGCCGTACCCGTCTGGGTTGCTCGCGACCGTCCGCACAAATAATTTTTCGGGGATTCGGGAAGCAAAAGACGTTCCCACGACTGAATAACGCGTCGAGCATAAACACGTTAAACGCATAGATTCGAAGTCGGGATGAGGAGTGATACAGCGGCGAATAAACACAACAGCGGATTAACACACTAGTCGTTTAATTGTTAGCAATCGATTACAATACGGCGACCTCGGACTTATACACTACGAGCGGCACAATAACAAACGCGAACGCGAAGGTGAATCGGTGGCTGATCAGCCGGCCGACTCCCTTGTGAAAACTAAATATTATAACAAATGCCCGACAAACACTTTTCGCTGATAGACTACCAACGGGTAGCCAGCAGGTCTGCCGTGCTACCAGCCATAAACTGGCGCCCAAACATGCAAGAGAGAGAGAAGAAAAAAACACGGCAGCGACCTCGACCTTCAGCCTCTCCGACGGCTAGAGCGCTCTGCACCGTGACGTCACTAGTGTGCTCCTCGCTGACCGTCTCGCTGGTATTTTCTTTTTTTTTTGTCGTCGCTATCTTCCTCCTTCTCGTCCTCTCGTTCGTTGATTGTTGTTGCTGTTGTCTCTGCCGCCTCTTTGTTGCTCGGTACTTCAGCACGTCCGGACTGCCCGCGCGCGCACCCGCGCACCTCGCCAGTTACCCACACGCACCGGTGCCGGGTATACTTCGGGACACGGCTGGGTGCGAGCCAGCCTCACGCTCCAATACTCGTCTGCGCACCAGGCGTGTCTCCGAAACGAACGATCGTCAACGAGGTCGCGGGGCCAACTTGGAAAAACCGTGACCTTTCGGTATAATCCGCGCGCGCGACTTCCTTTGCTTATAGCTTAGCAGAGACTCTCGAACTTTTCCGCGGCGATCCCCAATTCGAGCGCTCTCTCTCTCTCTTCTTCTGCGCCATCTGCATCGCTCCAGTCGTTAGCTTAGCCCGTGTTCAGCACCTCGTAAAAGAAAGGTCCAAGCATGAGTGTGTGTACCAAAAGCACACACTCTCAGCCTGGCGCGGCGCACGGACATTTGCTAGAGTCAAACGGATGAGATCGGCCTAGCTGAGATTCTCCGTTACAAAAGAACAAATTCCCACGATGCAGAGCTCACCGCTGCTCCGTTAAACACGTATGAGTATACGTGTATTCGCCGTTACATTTGATACTTTCGTTCCGATGTCTTCTTTCTAACCGAGTTGAACTCACCTCCAGTCACCTGACTTCTGACACACGATCTATCTTAGGTGTGAGTGACTTAATGTTTATTCCAACTGATCCCCTAGATGAAATCGGTTTAAAAATTAACCGGTGATAGTTCCGTTAAACTAATAGGAAACGAAATAACGTAATACGGCGAATAAAATTAATATCGTTTATGACTAAAAAATTACAGTCTTGGATGGGCTGAAAAACTAACGCACGCGAATAGGATTTACAATGTTTAACAGTAATACGGGGAGAGAGAGAGATAGAGAGAGAGAGAGAATTCAAAATTCTACCGCGAAAACTAACGCTCGGCGCGAATACAAAAATAACAGTCGCTATAGACAAAATATTCTCGTGAATATTTTGTCGCGCAGAAAAAGGGAATTGCACCTACCCTGCGGTGCAAATACGGTGATCAGCCATAATTGTTGAAGCAAAATACTGAAGGTGCTCCTCTCGAACCAGCTACGGTGCCTCACTCACAAACAATTGTTGCTCTAACAAATACTGCTGTCTGCTTGTTGCTATGTCTTATTCTATTATCTGCAATCACTGGCGCACGTATCAAAAAATCCCAGGAACAACTTTTGATTAGTAAAACGGCAAAACATGGTGAAAACTAATTGGCGGTACTTTCTCAAGTAACAGTTGAGGCTGAACTGAAACTTTGAACTCTCGCGCACCCCCTCTCTCTCTTAGACGTTCGCTCCAACATTGCGAGTGCTACCGAATCGCAAACGAATGGATTGATCGAATCGACTACCGTTGCAATATATACATACGAGAGTCGTTTGAAAAGTCCGTGCAAAGTCAGAGAGATGGCGCTACTAGTGCGTATCATGTAGGGTATGCGATATTTCATCTCTCTCGGTAGAGGAGAGGGGACACAGAGCGCTGCAGCGGCGAGCGAGAGAACATCTGGGCACTGCCTCACGGACCGTCATGGTGATAACACATATATCTTGGTTAATAAATATAGTTATTCGCACTTGGACATCCATTCATTCCCTAGAAATTCACACATATACATACATAGGAAGTAGGCCTGCCTAGGAGGCTTCGCCACATTGGTGACCCCGACTCCGCGGATTTTCGAGTGGATTTTCCGATACGTGTGGAGAAAACTCCTGCACTCTCGCTGAAGTTTCGTCCTTGTGATTTTGCCGCTCATTCGACACACGGGCTTCTGCTTGGTTGGCCGCCCGTTTCACATCGATACTTGCGTTTTAATTTTAAGGTAAAATTGCGTTCTCTATAATTTCAAGTGTTTCATCGCGAAAAGTTTTCGAAAAGTTAACGCCATTTGAAAAAACAAAAAGCGATTTCAAAACTTTGGCGCCATATTTAACATAACAGCGCTTGTCAGAACTGTGCTCATTGGCGTACATTCGAAAAGTAGAACTTTTCGCGCTCACTTTTGTGAATCCTGCCTGTGAAAATTTTCACATTTACATATGTTTAATTTTATTCTAAGCATTTAATCACAATCCACGTGAATTTACGCATTCAGATAATCTTTCGCGCGTGTCATTCCACATCACACCTTTACTCGGTTATGTACCTTGTGTTCATTTCTTTTTCTTAACCGCGTATACAGGCGACTTCTTTCAAGAATTCGACTTTGTAAACACGAGTTAATTTTCAGTGCTTTATTTCTCGGAAGTACCTAATACGCACATGCACAGCTTAAATACATTCAGTATACATATATATAAATATCAACTTTCGTTTTGTGTTTTCGTCACATAGCAATACAGGTTTATGTACATATTCACACAACCTCACATAGTTGTATATGTGCGGTATACTAAAATCAACTTGCTTTCAACATTAACTCAGTCGAAGTTCATACTCTCACATACTTGATTACATTTTAATGTTTAGACATGTACATAACCTTGCGTTGTTCAAACATAATTTTGCATATCTAATGCTAGTGCATACATAGAAACCATATGCTAATATTTAAATATCAAAATATAATATGATTTTCAATTATTTTTGGGCTCAATTCAGTTTAATTAAGTTTTGCCCACTTAGTCAAAATTTAGTTGGGTGAGTGTTTGTGATACGCCTGCGTGCGTAATATAGGTCATACTGTACATACTTCAGGTTTAGTCTGCGTATGTGTTTGTAACACGTCTGCGTACGTGGAATAAGTGTACATTGTAATACGTCTGTGGCGAAAGATTGTTAGTTACTCATTCTCGCTAGTCAGCATGGCAGAAGCCCTTGCTGCAGCTGAGGCTGCGCTTCGCGAAAAAATGCAACAAATCGAAGAACTCAGAACTCAAATGCATACAATGCAAACGCGCTTTCAACAGCTCTCTGAAGCTCGCAATCAAATATCTAATAACAATAATTTATGTCACGAAGTTCGTATCGAAGGGGCCCGGGTCCCCAAAATTCCCCCGAAGTTACATGCGGATCCGCTTTTATGGTTCCGTCAAGTTGAAGCCGCATTTCGTCATGCTAGCGTCACGGCTGACAATACTAAACTCGATTATTTATGCTTGTCACTGGATGGTGAAGCCATGGCTTGTATTACAGACATACTTTTTACTGAGCCTCAGCCCCCTAACGCTTATCAGCGAGCTAAAGATAGGATTATATCCACTTTTTCATCCTCCGCAAAATGTAATTTGCGCAAGTTATTAAAAGGCCAGGTTTTAACCGATGGAAAACCTTCTAGAATTCTATGCAGACTTAGGAAACTTAATAATGGGATGTGTGATGACATCATCAAATCAATTTTTCTCAATCAATTACCTGTTCTTCATCGCGATATCTTAATTGCCTCGGGCGGCACCGATCTTAATCAGTTAGCAGAAGCAGCTGATGGCTTAACTGAATCGGCTAGCTATTCAGACACGCATATTAACGCGTCTTCCATCAAAGCTCATTCCGTTACGGACACAGATACCGCGATCAGTCGTCTCGAGCAAAAATTTGATGCTCTCCTTAAAACTTTCAACAAAAATTCGCAGGTTCCTTCCGTCCCCAACCCTTGAATTCAGCCTTCTTGCGCAAATTGTTCTTCTAAACCTAATCAGCACAGAAGCCGTAGTAAATCTAGAGGTCCTCATTCCTCAGGTCTCTGCATTGCTCATAGGAAATATCCAAATAATTCAATTTCGTGCAAATCCTGGTGCTCGAAATATGCGGAATGGCAGTCAAAAAACTAAATTCACCTTCAGCCATGGAGACTGTCTTAGAAGATATTAGTTCATCTAATCGTCTCCATGTTCATGACCGTATCTCCGGCCAAATATTTTTGATCGACACAGGTGCAGATATCACCCTGCTTCCTGCTGATCCTAAGATACGTGTAAAACCGTCTTTATTTAAATTATTTGCCGCTAACAATTCCCGCATAAACACATTCGGCGAGTCATTTTGCACTCTTAACCTAGGTTTGCAACGTCTTATAGATGGAACTTTTGCATTGCCGATGTGCCTGTTGCAATTATTGGCGCAGATCTTTTAGCGTATTACAGCTTGTTAGTCGATTTAAATAAACGTCGGTTAATAGATCCTCTTTCAAACATCTATACTTTAGGCATTTTGAAAGAAGCAGCTATTCATTCAGTGTATGTGGTTGAACCTCACGTGGTGATTACCGCCATCTTAATGCAG